ACCTTTCATTTTTATCATCTCAACACGAACCAATTCGTTTATAAATTATTACATTATTTACCAGGACTAAGTTACTGTTATTTATAGTTTCGTTGTTTTTAATATGTTTTCTGTCGAGTCCTTTTATTATCTAGCGCATTTTTAGGTGAGGTATAAAAAAACATAGTAGTATTTAAAACGTTTTCTAAAGTATGGTCAAAAATTTTATGAAGACATTTTTTCTCACTGTGGGCGAAAAGATTCTGTAATACTAATAGAATGACGTTTTGAAGTTTCTCCAAGAAAACAGTTTCAGTTATAAAGAATTTAAAATATTTCTTTTTTGTGTCCTAGTATTGTACTGTCTAGCAGCTAGATGCTAGAACGTTTCTTTTTATCGAAGATTCTTTCGGCGATTTCTAATTCTCGGCAACGGCAGAGTTACTTTTTCATGTTTTCAGTTCTAAAAAAGCGTAAGGTCTGCATACAGTTTTAGAGTCATTAGGAGTTTTGAAGCAGAAGACGTGAAAAATGAGCAATGCTCTCCCGGGACTTGAATCTGGATCTCTCGAATACGCGTCGAGTTGCTACCGTTACGCCATGAAAATATGCGGAAAAGCAGGAGAACATACCTTAGATACTTCTCCTTTTAAACTGCTAGTGGGGATAAGAGTGCCCAATCGCCAAATCCTGGTGGTAACGAATTATCGTCCACTATGTTTTTAGTTTGGGCGCCACTTTAGAGTCATTATTATTTTTGTTTGAAGCAGAAGACTTGAAAATTGAACAATGCCCTCGCCGGAACTCGAATATGGACCTCTCGAATACACGCCGAATGTGCTAACGTTATAACCTGAAGGCATGCTTGAATGAGAAAGAAAATACCTTATATAGTTAGTAATAGTTAGTTGTTTTAAAGTGATTAAAACAGAGATTTTCATATCTTTAAAAATAAAGTAAACAAACACTGTTTGTGATGAAAGTCATTTTCATGACCATTTTTAAACGCAATTAAAATAAGCAAATTTAAGGAGCAAATATAAGATAAAAGAGCTGCTCGTTTTGATGATTAGTGTTAAGTTAAAAAATAGCTTAGTGCTAAATTAACGCATAGAATCTTTAAAGAATTTTCTAAGCATATGTTTATACAATTTTTGCGTGCAAATGGATGAAATCTTTTGTCTTTAAATCATTAAGAATGATACAACAGCATTTCTCAAACCTTTTCAAGTGGGGACCACGTTTATAAATTACAGTGTTCTACTTACCATATTATCGTCTTCTCTCACTCTGAAAGTAATTTTTTTAGCATTAGTTACTATTTATATTTTCGAAATTCAATTTACCTTAAAAATTCACTGAATTTTAAATTGGTATCAATCAATTTAGTTAATATTGGTTTTTAATAATTCAAGGCTATTAGAAATAGTCTCTAAAAGATAATCTTTATCCTACTTTATCTTATTAATAACAATCTCTTATTGACTAAAAATTTAATAAATGTTGGTTCTCACATTATTGACATGGATGAACCTGACAGTTCTTGCACAGCCATGCTATGTTTGGATGTATGCTGATAATCTTAAGTCTGATATCGGCATACTTATCAAGTCAGTTTATGTTCTTTGCTTTTATTTGAGTTAGTGATGAATCCCCCCTTTCTTGTATAATTACGTAAAAGCTAACTGAAATGTAATTTAAAATATATCACACAGTTCATTATATTCCGTTTTTAGTGGTAATGCGTTCCAGAAATTAACCACGCCTTCTGCTTGGGGCTCACCGACGCCCGAGCGGTAAAGTAGCTGAATACTGGTAGTTTGGTCCAAGGTTCGAATCCTGCGAAAAGTTGGCTGTATGAGCATTTTTGTGATTTTCCTCATGCGTAACATGTAAACAACGCAATTTCCCTTAGAAAGTCCTCAACGAAGACATCCCTCCCCTTAGGCAGATAGCCCTCGAGTTCTTTGCGTAATCAAATAAACCAAGCCTAAGCCTTCTGCTTAGAATTTCATTTTAAGTCCGGTGTCATTACAGAGTTCAATTAACTGTTCTCTTTCGCTCAATGATAGTTCGATAATTTTGAAATTGCTGTAGAAATGATCCAGAACCCACGAAAATTCGTTATATTTGCCACTTGGAAAATAAGTTTCAAACTTTCACGTCAGAGTTTGGAGATGCGAACATTTGCCATACATTCATAATTGTTTGACAATAGCAATTTAATTTTTTTGCTAAAAGGATTCTAAGGTTGGATACAGTGAAAATTTCTATGGTCCTATTCTAATACCTTGCACACAAAGATTTAGTTCATTTCGTTTGAGAGCACATTCATTTTTGAGTTTAATGAGTCCATTAAGTTGACTGAGATAGCACAACAACAAGCTTCGAAGACAACAGTTTAAGAAGTGGTGTGATAAAGACATCATTCACGAGGAATATTAAAATTACTTGATTTCAAACGATAATCCTTCTATTACAGTGTTATGTTTAATAAACCCTTATAGGCAATGGAGAATTCTCTTGTTACGATTTATCTCACCTCACTTGTCTGACAGTAACATCAGAACAAGCCAAAGAAATTCAGCATCGGAAAGAGTGAAATGTTGCTCCTGTCGTTGGCAAGAGCCTTGGGCACCATAGAGATGATAGTACGACTTTGCTCAGTTTCACCCCCAATTTTGATGAAGAGCTTCCGGGAGGAACCCTCCTCTCCAACCCCTCTTTCCCTACCACACCTCTTCGTTTTCAGCATTAATTTTTTTTTAATGGAGTCATTAAGTTTGCTTTCACAACTAATCTTACCAACACAAAGTGGTTGTCATTCGACACGAGCACATTCATTTTTGATTTCCGATAATGGCTTCTATTACAAGTTGTTTAATAAACCCATATTCACGAGGAATATTTAATTTATTTCACTCTCACCTCACTTATCGGACATTCTCTTGTTCAGCATGATCTCAGTTCACCTGTCGTGGCATAGCCTTCCGGCATCTTGCTGTTTCACCCCCATTTTGATGAAAGCTTTTTGCTCCTTCCAACGCCCTCTTCCTACCCCTCTTTCTTTCCTCTCTTTTCGGCTCGCCGCATATTTAGAAGGCCCCCATGCCGCACAGACACTATACATTTACAAATATCCATTCCATCTCCAGGAATCAAACCCTGGCCCTTCGGCGGCAGCCAGCCTTCGCTAATCACTATTCCGATTGGGCGGCGTAGAATTCTTTTTAAAGTAACTGCATTCATTAATTATTTTTCTTAGAAAGGAAAATTTAAAAATCAGATAGAACTATCGGACGAATCTTTCTAATTATTTTAACAAAATTTGTCCTCTATATGGAAGCCTCTTTTTTACTTTTAATAATAATAATAATAATAATAATAATAATAATAATAATAAAAAAGGTCTGTAAGACATCAAAGCAAGTCTTTAAGACATCAAAGGAAGCATAAATGAATAATTTTTAATATTTACATCAGTTAACATATGACATATGAAATATTTTTCTTTAGCATTTTGTAATTCAAATTTATATTTTTGTGAACTAATTGTATTATGCAACTTCTAGATCTATATATCATGCTTTACTATGTAAAATATTCTTAAGGCTGAGCTTAAAACAACAATTAATATCAGGATTCCAACAGCGTTCAAAGCCAGATTATTTTCTAGTTATGAATTACTATTATTAATTTATGTTAGTAGATATATCGTAAAATGAGACTTTAATTTTAACCCCGAATGTATATGTTACGGTGAAACACCGAAATCTGGAGAATGTCGACTTTCACCGGTGAATGTCAACATTCACATAGTCTCTTGGTGTATGTCCGAAATTTTTTTCAAATGCTCTTATTTCTGACTTACACCGATCAGTGTCGACATTCACCATGTACTAATGGTGAATGTTGAACATATAACAATATTATATTTTCTTCTCCGTCATTCAGTCACGAATAAACGCACTTGAGACTTGAAATAAGAACTTAGACATGAGACCTAAACACACAATACATTTAAAATGAAAGGAAAATAATAAAGTTAAAAAACTTATTAATACATACGTTCTAAATGAGAAATAAATAACAGTAATAAAAAACTTACTAAATTATATGATTCAAATCTTATTTATTGCAACAACTTAAACTATTATGGCACTTTATGACCTCTCTTTTCGACTTTTACCAGAGCATATCTGTGATTGTCGACATACACAGGTGAGGGTCCTAATATACAAGAATGTAGTGAAATATTCGGTCTCTCACCGACGTATTTGGTGAATGTTGATATTCTCCGGTGAAAGTCGACATTCTCCAATTTCGGTCTTTCACGGTAACATATGTACGAAATAAGAATGAATGAAGGACTTGAATTCAGTATTGGCTTGAAATGCAAAACGACCACACTCGTATATGATTTCGGTTTGACTGTTTGTTTGCAAGGAAAATTTAAAAAAAAATGAATTTAATAAATTGAATTTTCATTTAGATGAATTTGATGAATAAAGAATATGAATTTGATATGTCGAAAATATAGCACTTTAGGCTCAATATTATTAATTTTATAAATAAAGAATATATACAATGCTATATTGATACAATGCAGGAAATATAATTTCTGAATATTTTAAAGCAAATATTATGTCACAGTTTATGATGCTCAGGTTTCAATACCATTTATCTATTTAACTTGAAATATCTAAAGTTTCGTGTAATATTTCGGAGATAAATAGTTACTGCACTTAAAATTTATTTTCAGAAATATAAAACAAATGTTTTGTGATATGCGTCGAATTTTCACTTACATTTGACATATGGCACTACACTGACGAACATTCTGAAACCGCAACAGTTTATTTCAAAAATAATGTTTACTCTTTCTCGTTTTGAAAATAAACTCTTTCCCTTCTTAACATTCATTTTCAAGATAATGCAATTTTTAAAAGTTTTTTTTTTCATTTATCTGGAATTCTTCATTTCAAATTATATAATTTAAGTTTAATTTATAAAGAACTTACCTATTTTCGTCATTCTTTCCCACAATAAACACTGCTTCTGACCAAAGATTTGTTTTCCCCAGCCACTTCCTCTGAAATTCCCGTGAATAGCGGAATTAAGAAAGATTGCCAAATGATGCTGTCAGACCAAGCGACAAAATGACAAGTAGCGCTGGGAGACGCTCTCACACATGACACTGGACGAATATGGAGCACGACAACCCCTCTGCTGCTCCCTCGCGATGCTGAAGACACAATGATCGTCTGGTCGGGAAATGCCTGCGAGGGGAGGGCGCTGCGGTGATCTTTTAGGATAGAAATTTGACGCGCCTTATTTTATAGTCAGGCAGCAAGCGGAAGAGGGTGAATTGTTTACAGGCCTTGCTTCTGGAGTACGACTGGCAAATAAATAGTTTATTGAACCAACAACTTCTCTGCGTATGCAAGGATTTTAAGCACGTCAGTTGATTTATTATAATAGATAATTCTTCGTTTACTGCTCGAGTCGTCTTCTGATGTTAGAATAAAGCAAATATAAGTCGTCGCGAATCCCAGTTTACAGAGGTAATACCGGAAACGATGGCCGCGGTTAGCTGAAAGTCCAAGAGCTGTTAAAAACATAAGAAAGAGAAGTAACCCATATTATAACTAACCGGAAAATACTAATACTATTTATTTGAATACCAGTCTAATATGGAGAATAAATTCATTTGATTATGTAAATTAAATAAGCATTCAGTGAATTGAACATATTGCAAAACGGTCTGAAAAGGCTCAGAATTTAACTCTTCTAAAAGGACTATATCTGAGGTTTCCTCCGGTTTCGCTAACGTCGTAGTTGTATTCTTGTATTCGCTCCTGCTGACAAGTCTTTCTTTTACTGTTCTGTTTTCCCATTTAATGGTGAAAGAATTTTTTATTATTTGATTCAAGGGATATGAAACTTTCGATTATGTTATATTCTAAAAAGTGCTTCAAATAAACTATGGAAATCTATACCCGTACGATTGACTCGTAGTGTCATTTTCATCTTTGGATAGCCCATATCGTATCCTCTGTTCATTTGAAGAATAGCACGGACATCAAAAGCGATTAGACGTAAAAACGATTCCACACCCCTTTCCAGCTACAACACTGAAAGGATTTAGATTTGAAATGCGTGTGGCTATCATTTCATACATTTATATATATTACGTATAAGTATTATAATCGATTTACATTATTTTAATAGCAAACATTCCACAACATGACATGTTTTAGCGTTCTAAACATTCATGCGTGACAAAAGTTCTAAAAATAAGTTATAGGCATCGATGATAGAATTTTAATATTCACACAAATTTAGAACAACATCAATTAGCTGTTCTCTAATACAAAGGGAACAAATCTCTATGCGTCGTTTATATATATAGGATCGCCTTTTGTTCTTAAAACGATACGAGCTCAAAACTGAGGATAGGTATTAATAGTCACTTTGGTTATAATAACGAAAACTAAACATCGGAAATAAAGAAATGATGTTACAATGGCCTTAAAAATAATATTCAAAGGATAACTTACTACGTTATTAAGCTGTTTCCAATGGGAATGTTTCCAAAGTTTCCTAGAAACAAATTTAATTTTTTGAATACTGGGCTCAGTTACTTCGAAAAACGTTTAATACGCTCTTAGTTAATTTAGAATTGATAGCAAGTAAAACGGCTTTCATGGAAAAAAGTGCAAATTTTCATTTCTGCGGATGTTTTAAATTTTTTGGGAACTAATTTGCTAACAGGCAAGTGTAATTCTAGCAGAGAACAAGGAATATGAAAAGAAGCACAGAGTTTAGCTTAAACATGTATGAATAAATGCAGAGATAATGGATGCAATTTAAGCTACACAAAACTTTAAAACTTTACATTTAAACTTGAATTGTTGCCGACTGACAAGTTTTTGGCCGATTCCATAAAAAAGTCCTGACTTTCCAAGGAGAATTAGCCTCTTTCCACAAAATTGCCAATAATTCAATACGATCACGTTTCATCTCTCTTGCATTTTTGAAAACAACTCTTATGCCAAGTTTAAATCACTGATTTTTAATAAATGACAAAGAAATTCCCCGACGCGATGTAAAGCAATAAATATAGTATATCATGAAGCAGTGTGTTAAACTTAAGAATCAAGAGTTACGAAAGAAACTGAGTATAAGGTATTTTCTTCCTCTTTTCCGTATGCCTCCCTGGAGTAGCTAGAAGCATATTCGACATGTATTCAAGAGATCCAGGGTTTGAGCTCTCTCCAGGGCATTGTAATTTTTGTAAAAAAAAAAAAAAAAAAAAAAAAAAAAAAAAAAAAAAAGAATGATTCTACAAAAGTTACTAAATAAAATTTGTAATTTTTATTTTTTTTCACATGAGTATTTTTTTTTCCCAAAAGGTGAGGGATAAGAACGCGATCGATTTGAATTTTTGATGATTTTATAAAAAGAGACAAATTTTAATTGAAATGTTAGGATCTTCCTATGAAATATGAGACTTTTTTTTTTTTGTAAAATATTTTTTATTAGTGATGTTTAAAAATTTTTCATTAAATTTAATACATATTACACTTTTTTTACAATTTTTTAAAACTTTTACTTAGTTTTAAAATTTTTAAAATCTCCTATTTCATTTAGTGTATACGTGCCAGTTTCCCTTAGAAAATCCTCCGCGAAGGCAATCCCTCCCGTTAGGCAGATAGCCCTCGAGGCTTTTTCGTAATTAAATAACCTAACCTAACTCAACCCATTTCATTTGTATTTCGCTTTAAAAATATCCCTTTATACATTAGTATTTTCTTATCATTTCCTAGGAGATAATCAAATTGAAAATAACTATTAAAATTTATATTTATAAACTTAGTAGTGCTAGCATAGGATTTAGCGTATTACGTCCACTTTTAACTATTACTTGTTTACAAGTTTAATCAATAAGATTATACATATATATATATATATATATGTTTGTGTGTGTGTGTGTGTGTGTGTGTGTGAATAAAAAAAGCAGTTCAAAACCTAATTCAACTGCTTATTGAAAGCAATAACAAGGGATACTAATAATGAAAATTAAATTTAAAATTATACGTTTAAAATTTATCCCATATTTAATTCGAAACAAACCACACGCGAAACATAAAACAATGAAATTATAGTGCAAGCCGCATAAAAGGCGCAAAAGCTGCCAAAATTAAAAATGGAAAAGAAAAACAGGAAAAAGGAAATTTACATATCGCGGGTCGTCTTGTTTGGTGGCGCATTGAAAAAATTAAATACATCAGTTTGTTGCTGAACCAACAAAGAAACAAATTAAAGTTTAATAAATGAAATACTCCCAGGAAATTAATCAAAATGATCTATATTTTTATCAGTTTTGCAGGCTTTGGTAAATAGTGCATATAATTGCAGAAGCTTACAACTAAAATTATAAACTATGTCAAAAAAGCTTAATTCTCTGTTTATTATGAGCAGAACAAGTCCGAAAAACCAAGATATACAAACACTGTGTGTGTAATTATGGCAAAGCCTCGAGGGCTATCTGCCTAAGGGAAGGGATGCCTTCGTGGAGGACTTTCTAAGGGAAAATGGCTCGTATACACGTTACACATGGGGAAAACCACGAAAACGCCCATGCAGCCGGCCCGTTCGCGGGATTCGAACCTCGGACCGAACTACCAGTGTTCAGCGACTTTAGATATACAAATACAAGTAATCCAATACATAAAAAAGTAACATATAAAAATTTGAGACTATACAGTCCGGAGAAAAAGTTTGCGAAATTATAGCATCAAAATCATAAGTAAGCAAAGAGCGTAAACTATGATAAAACATTATATTCTATTTAAAAGGACCGAGTCAAAAAAAACAAAACTTGCAATCAGAAATAATTCAACATATTAAAAAGTAATAACCAATGAAAATTTTATCCAAAAAACGTACAATAAAAATAAAAATAAAAAAATAGTTCTTAAAATCTATAAGATTAAAATATGTGAAACGAATTTATAACTCAAATTGTCAAGTAACCCGTTAATTACTCATTTTAATTTGGGTGCTTCTTTTCTCTGTTCTAAAAATAGTAATAAAATAATTTGGACTGCATCACTTCTAGATAAATCCATATCATGTGACTTTTGCATAACGATAATGACTTAGCTAATTTGGAACCTAAGCCGAAACATTTTTTTCTCTTACTAAGCTGGCAAATTTGATAACTATGCACTTTTGCTTCTACTCTTCAGCTAGTGTAGACTGCTACCTGCTGCTTCTCTTCCTATTGCAAAGCAAAAAAAAAATTTAAATCTTTGAAATAGGCACGATTAGATTGCTAAGTGAATTGAAGCCACAAATACCAGTTGAAACAAAAATAAATGCTTAATCATCTTTAGCTGCCAAGTTTCCTCTTCATCGTAGATCAGCATCACCAAATCCTAATGGTGACGAATTATCGTGCACAACCTTTTTTTAGTTCAGGTGCCACTTATAGAATCTTTTTCCTCTTTTTTTTTTTAGAATTTTGTTTTTCAAAGCAAGGAAATCGAAGGATCCGCAGTCACATCGCCAGGATTCGAACTCCGGACCTCCCGAAAACGTGTCGAGCGTGCTTCCAGTTACATCATGAATGCATACAAAGAGGAAGGCGAAAGTACGTTATAAATGGTGTTTGTAACGATTCGTATCACTTTCTGAACACATCATGAATTTCTATGAATTTCTCTGAGAAATCTGCATGATTCTTATCCTGTAACAAAAAATTTGCGGAGGATGAAAAAGCATGAAACACAATGCTTCTTCTACCGGGTGCGTGTGTTCATTATCCTTGTTTCAAAAGAAGGCGAGAGAATGATTTTACGACATTTCAGGACGCCTTCAATTTTAGACCATTTATTTTGAGACTTCAAACTGAATATTTAATGATTGAAAAAAATCTCTCAATTGCTTTAAATAGCCGCTAAAATTTGATAAATATTTAAGGAACTCACAGCTAACTTCATTTGAAAGGATATCTTTCGAAATATCCGATTGCAAAAATATTAAAATGAATCAGTGATCCCTTTTGATTTATTAATTTAGAATATGTACTAATAGTTAGCTTCAGCACTGAAATGAAATCTAAATAGGATTCTGAAGAGAATCTGCTTGGGGTCACAGACTCTTCCTGAGAAATCTGAAATCGCATTGAGTCGGCACTGGGCTTCTCTGTTTCTGAGCTGTATGATACAGACAGGCACCCCCAAATACAGAGAAACTATTATGACTGCTATTACTACTACTACAACATGGTTATCTACGATGGAATTCACATGTGCTTTGAACT